CCTCCCTCAAAACCCTAACTCCGACCTCCCCAACAACCCCCATTTCATCGTCGTCTCCGCCGATCTCCGCCCTCTCCACCACCACCATTTCCGCCACCGTCGTTTCCTCCCTCTCATCGACAAAACCCAGAAACACGAATCCAAACCCGAACCCATCAATGAAAGACCCGAATTCTTGAACGAAAACTGGGTCTCTTGAACGACCCTTTTTCGAATGGTAACGCCTGCAAGTTTGTTCACGGCGCCGGCGGTGGTGGGTTCTCGGATACCGGTGATGATTCCGGCCCAATTGTTGCTCCCTATGACCACCGGCTTTCTCTCTTTCATCTTTGATTTTGATTTTCAGGGTTTTGATTTTGATTTTGATTTTCAGGGTTTTGATTTTGATTTTCTGGGTTTTGATTTTCTGGGTTAGAGGTGGGTTTGGGTGGTGGGGTGGTCTGGGTTAGGGTTGGGTCTTGGTGGCGTAGGTGGTGGGGTGGTCTAGGTTAGATGTGGGTCTAGGTGGTGGGGTAGTCTGGGTTAGATGTGGGTCTAGGTGGTCTGGGTTAGATCTGGGTTTTTTGGTTAGGGAGGGGGCTGCCGGAAAAAAGAAGGAAAGACGTGAGGGTGGTGGTGGTTTCGTGGGGTCGGTTGTGGTGGTGGTTTTGTGGGGGTGGTAGTGGTGGTGGTGAAGCCAGTGGCGGTGGTGGTGAAGCCGACAGTGGTGGTGGTGAAGGCGGCGGCGGTGGTGGTTGGTCTTGGTGGTGGCAATGGGTGGTTTGATTAATTATTCAAACATTCTCTCTCCACCTTAATTACATACTCTTATAATATATTAATCACCATTATACTTTCTTAATCTTTGCCCTTCAATCTTTTGCCTCGTGAACCGTTTTATGTGCCAAAGTTGCACATAAAAAAAAACGGAGGTAGTATATTTTATAGGAAGCAGGGTTTTATCGAAAGTTGGCAAGCATAAATACTCTCATTCAAAGCAACCTGGAAGCATTACCGACTGATGCAGCGGAAAAAAAAAATAAATAATAAAAAAAAATCATACAAAAAACAATTTTTGGAGCCGACAAAATTAAAGATAAATGTACTACCTCCATTTCTTATTATGTGCAACAAAGAGGTATTATTTGTGAGATATAATAAGAAAAGGAGGTAGTTGTATTATCCTACTAATTTCTAAGGATAAAATTACAAGCCTAAAAATGCAAGAGATTAGAGATGTTATAGTCTCCTACAAACTTTACCCCTAAACAAGGCTTTCGTTGCAAACCTAGGGTGGAAAATCATCTCTTACCCAAATTGTTTATGGGTAAAATGTTCATGTAAAATAACAACAGAAACCAAATGACTCACATTTGGAGAAGATCTTAGTCCAAAGAGACATACTATGAAAAGGTAACATACAATAAAAGACTGGAATGTTGGTGATGGTCGATATCTATATTTTTGGGTCGATAATTGAACCTCTTACCAAACTTTGCTCGAACTTCATTCTTCACTTAGACCAACTGCATGCGGGACAAGCATAAACTTAGGAGCTTACTTCCACATAATATATTTGTTTGACTTTTGACACTATTTATTAACTTTGTTTTAATTAACATTTGTAATTTATAGTCATGTGGGATTTTGTTAAATTCATCTCGATGTGTTATTAATTAAAATTCAATTTTCAATTGAACTTTTGCATTGGCAAACGTGATAAAAGAAATGTGTCATCTAATTTGGAACGGAGGCAATATTAATTACTTAAATTGCAAGATTTATTTTTTTTTAACCATATGCTTAATAATCAAAGGTAAAGATTACAGACAATGGAATAAGTTTGATATGCTACTTAGAAGAGCTTTACTAGCTCCAACATGAGAAATGTTCGCCCACTACCCGGGAGCGACAATACCGGGTAGGGTTTTTTTTTTGTTTGAATAATAGTATTATATATTATTTGGTAATTTAAAAAAGGAGAGAGGAATATAAAGCAAAAAAAAAAGAGTGGGGGGTAAAAACCATAAGGCGGTGAAATTTTCACGGTAAATCCGTATATCCAAGCCGACCATCGATCGGAAAACCAGTAATATTAGTACACTAAGCTAGTGAGCTCAGATCCATCTCCCTTGAATTTTACAAGCTTCTTTACATGAGCTGAATTTGGATATTTGGGGGGTTGAAAATGATGACACAAATTGATTATCGGTGGTAGTTATTGTTGATTTAAATACTGTAATTGTTAATTTTTATTCTGTTATTGTTGATTTGTATACTGTTATTATTGTTTGTATACAGTTGTTGGATATTCAATTTGAGTTTATATGTTTTCGATTTTCTCAAATGTTTGTGGGTTTGCTTTAAATGTTACTTCCTCTGTTCTTTTATACTTGACATGTTTCTTTTATTACGCTTGCCAATACAAAACTTTAACGATCAATAACTTTAATTCTCCATAAGTAAAAATTATAAAAGTTATATATTATGATAATACTTGTTGTAAACAGAACTGCAGGAGCAAAAATAGTAAGAACAATGTTACCGGGAATGAAACTGAGTCGCGGACTATGTCGTTCTCTTTAGAACATTCACGACACTGCCTTGAATTTGTGCAAGTAGCTCGTACGTAATCAGATGTCCCAAGGATAAAACAGTCTCTGAAAGCTATAAAGTACCGGTGGATTTGCACTGAACCACCGGGCAACTAAACACTGGAAAATGTAATGAAACTGCTCGAATAATTTAAGAAGAAGTGAGATTAGAAGATAATTTTTTCTGTGTGTTTAAAAAGCTTAACTCATTCTCCTTTTATAGCCAAAACCAGAAAGCCGTTTTGAAACCCAGTAACAGCATAACGGCAGATTAAGTGTTTGCCTAAAAAATAGCAGAAAACGGTCAAGAAAAACGGCCAGAAAATCAATTTTAATAACGTTCAAAATTGATTAACGTAAATAACGGGAATTAAATCAGTCAAAATAGAACAAAATCATTTAAAACGGTCAGCAGTCAAGGCTTTAATTACGGGATTATTTCAGTACTTAAATCTTGTTCAAAAACTGTATAAAAATTTAAGTTTGTTTAATAAACCCGACCCGACCCTGCCAGCCCGGCTCGATTTGGTTTGGCGCGCGTGTGTGTGTGATAGGTTGGCTCGGTAGGTAAGTCCTCCCTCTCCACAAAATGTGAGTAGCCCTTGGGCCACACCCAAGTACTCCACTATCGACTTTACAAAGGAGGGAAAACTTTCATTTCCAACCAATGTGGGACTTTGGTTTTTCATAAAATTCACACTTCATACTACTTTGTTCCAACATTACTTATTGAGACGAATTCAAAAAGATCCCACATGAATATGTTTTTCATTATGTATTATTCACAAAAGACGGTCAAAGAAGGGATCATGAATAGTATAAAAGTCAAAGCGGGTCAAGTAAAAAAGAACGGAGGATATCATTTTAACAAAATTATTTTCAGTTTCTAAGTATGCTGTTATTTATTATTACTATACTATTATTGTTAATTTTATACTGTTATTGTTGATTTTTATACTGTTATTTTTCGAAAAGAAAGTTTTTTTTTTACACGTAGTAATTACTATCGAAACTTTTGTGTGAAATTACATTTTTCCCTAGATATTGTCGCTCCCGAGTAGCGGGCTATCACGGCCCCTCCTACATTACATAGAGTACAAATAAAACATAAATACAACTTCCTCACAAGAAATTGGAGGATTTTCCTTCTATGTAATACAAGTACAACGAATGATACTCTTGTGGCCTTGTGGGGGGGGCTAACTTTCATCAGAAATTTAGGGTTAAATCTACTATATGGGTTGCTCATAATATAGATCCAAATGATAACAACTGGCCTAAAATTGGATTTGGCAAGTGTATATCCCTTCTAAATTGCAAATCTATTTATGACAAACTTTTCATGATAGCCTAGGAGTATATTACATACTACTACGTATATATTACCTCTTAGGCTCTTAGTGCTACCTCCGTTTCATATTATTTACAATAATTTTATATAAAGTATAGGTAAAAAAATGTCTAATCGTTGCAAATAATATGAAATAGAGGTAGTATATGCATTTTGTGTAACCAACAAAATGAGGCAGGTTGATCATAATGTTGCGGATAGACATCTCTTTTCAACAATTTTGACAATTGGTTCATTCCACATATATATTACTTGTATGAGGCAAATTGGGTGGCTAATTGGATAGGCAACGTTGGTTACATATTTAATGATTGTATGGATATTATACCTTGTACTTTATCATTATCTCCTATTCTTGTATCTGACTTGAGTGAATACATTAGAAGTTTCCCTCATGAGGAGGGTCCCCTAATGTTATCTAAGTAGTATTTTTCTTACCTTGCAACATTATTTCAAAAATGGCCATAATACTAAGTAATTAAAATGATATTACGAAATCTTACAAAATCTTATTCCCTCCGCTTTTAAATAATTGTTCCATTTCTCCTGGTCACGTATGCCGATACTAATCTTTGATCAATAATATATTTAATTATCAATAAGTATAAATTCTAACAATTGAAAATTAATAATCTATCCATTAAGACGATTCCAACAAATACCCAGAAGACTATATTTTTTCTTATGTATTAATCACAAACATTAATCAAAGTAGGACAAATGAATAGTACAAAAAGTAGAAATATAGCAATATTTAAAAAGGGAGAAGTATTTGTTTTTATTAAAGCACTCCGTAATTATGCAGTTGACTGATGCAAAAGTGAAATATAGGTTGGAGTAATGGAGTAAAACATACGTAGTAGTGGTAGAACTAGTCTAAATTATTAATTTAAGACTTCTGGTTATTGTTGATTTGACTTCTGGTAAATATTAATTTAAGACTATAAAGATTGCTTTACTGTATTAGACTCCCATTTGTCAAAAGAAATGGCCATACTAGCGTAAATTGTGGGGATTATGGTTCCTATATATATTACACACTACTTAGTAGTCTGTTATAAGAAAATAACCAAAAACACAATGTATAATAACGCCTTTAGCATTATCAAACTTCTGTTTGCAATCAGTTTAGGATATATGCTCTTATTCTCTGAAGCAGTGGCATATCATCCAGGACAAACAGAAGCCGAGGCGCTTATTATATGGAAACAAAGCTTCCAAAACCAATCAGCCTTTACTTCTTGGGTCTTGCCACAAATAAAAAGTTACTCTTCCTCCATCAGAAGCCCATGTCGTTGGCAAGGAATCGCTTGCGACAACCATGGAAGAGTCACCAACATTACCCTGCCTCAGTTAGAATTGCAAGGTACACTTGATGCCTTAGATTTCTCTTCATTCCCACATTTAAGTTACCTTGACCTCAGTCAGAACCGTACCAGTGGCATAATACCTTCTACTATAGGCATGATTTCTAAACTTAAATACCTTGATCTCTCAACTAATATGCTGAATGGTACCTTACCTCTTTCCCTAGCAAATCTGACATTAGTTGAGCAGCTTTGCTTATCTCGAAACAAACTTACTGGCCGAATAGACCCGAGTTTGTTCCCTAGTGCAACAAAGCATGCAAATTCTGGTCTGATCAGTATTGAAGTCATAATCATTGAAAGGACTTTTTTAGACGGTCCAATTACCTCTACCATAGGTAACTGCAAGAACCTTTCTTTCATTGCTCTTGACAATAATCGATTTTCAGGTCCTATCCCGGAGTCAGTGGGCAACTTGAGTGAGTTAAATTCCATACTTTTGTACCAAAATTATTTAACTGGGCCTATACCAACCTCTGTTGGTAGACTCAGCAAGCTAACTGACCTTCGCTTGTTTGATAACCAATTGTCTGGTCACGTTCCTCAAGAGATCAGAAACCTATCCATCACCAACCTGCAGTTGTCTAGGAACAGTTTTACAGGACTACTACCCCCACAATTGTGTAAGGGCGGTAACCTTGTCTACTTCTCAGCTTCTAGCAACAATTTTGCAGGTCCAATACCAGTCAGCCTAAAAAATTGTCCCAAATTGAATAGAGTTTACCTCAAAAACAACCAACTTACTGGTGACCTTGACCAGGCATTAGGAGAGTATCCTAGCTTGGTTTACATCGACTTAAGCTTCAATCGACTAGGAGGTGAACTCTCACCAGAGTGGGGTAAGTCTGAAAACTTGACTGCTCTACTGATAGCTGGTAACTCGATTAGTGGTAAAATACCAAAAGAAATTTTCAGTTTGCCAAATTTACAAAAATTAGACCTCTCATCTAATAGGTTACATGGAAACATACCCCCAGAAATTGGGCAAAGCTCAAAACTGTTCCAATTATCCTTTCAGAATAATATGCTCTCAGGTCGAGTGCCTGTACAGGTAGGAGGCCTACATGAACTGAACCAAATGGACCTCTCGAACAACAGTCTAACCGGGCAAATCCCATCTGAAATCGGGAGTTGCTCAAATCTGATGAGCTTAAACTTGAGCAACAACCATCTGAATGGCCCAATTCCAGATGAGATCGGGCAGCTAACTCAGCTGCAGATCTTACTGGATTTGAGTTATAATTTTTTAACCGCGGACATGCCACTGAACCTGGGGAAGCTACAATGCCTTGAAACATTGAACCTTTCACATAACCATCTGACGGGAATTATCCCTACATCTATAGCCACCATTGCCAGCTTGGTACGACTTGATATCTCGTATAATGAACTAGAGGGTCCATTACCTGACAGTAATATCTTCTCTTCATTTCCTTTAAGATCATTTTCTGGCAATAAAGACCTTTGTGGTAAAATAAGGGGCATGAAACCTTGCAATGATATGTCTCCAACAAGAAAGCAACAAAGCCATGTCATAAGACTCGCAGTTGTTGCTTTTGCAAGCGTACTGTCTTTTCTTCTTGTTGCCTGCAGCATATTATTCTGTAGAAAGCGCAGACTGGCAAAATGCAAACAGCAGGATATGAGTCAGAAATGCAAAGACGTATTCACTGTACTGAACTTTGATGGCAACTTAGTCTACAATGACATAGTTGAAGCCACAGAGGACTTTAACAGTTTGTACTGCATTGGAAGTGGAGCAACTGGGAAGGTTTATAAAGCAGAGATTCCAAGTGGTCAAGTGTAGCGGTTAAAAAGCTCAACGCCAGCACCTTAGAGAAAGCAGCAGTAGCAGCAAGGAGTTTCGTGAATGAGGTGACTGCCCTGATAGAGATTCGGCATAGGAACATTGTGAGGTTTTATGGGTTTTGTCTGCACGAGAGCATAATATTCTTGGTGTACAAGTTTATCGAAAGAGGAAGCTTGGCTGATGTTTTAGGCAGTGTCGATGGAGCAAAGGAGCTGGACTGGGACAAGCGGGTCAGAATCATCAAGGGAGTTGCTGATGCCTTGGCATACATGCACCATGGCTGCACACCACCTGTTGTCCACCGCGACATTTCAAGTAAAAATATTTTACTGTGCTCTGAACTGAAAGCTCATGTCTCAGACTTTGGCACCGCAAAGTTCCTGAACCCAGATTCTTCTAACTGGACCACGCTTGCTGGAACATATGGCTACCTTGCCCCAGGTATGAAGTTTGATATGAAAAGAGAAAATAAGCACATTAAGTCCAGATTATTAAACATCCTGTGTTGTATTGCAGAGCTAGCTTTCACCATGGTCGTAACAGAAAAATGTGATGTATATAGCTTTGGCGTTCTTGCGCTCGAAATTCTAATGGGAGCACACCCACAAGATCAGATTTTGAGCCTTTCAGCAAGCATGTCAGATGACCAACTGAAAATAAAATCCAAAGATGTCTTAGACCGTCGTCTTGCATATCCTACAGGCCAAGAGCTTATACAGCAGCTTGAATTTGTGTTACAGATAGCAACTTTATGCCTCAATATTAATCCACAATCAAGGCCAACCATGAATTACATCTCTCAGATGTTCGAAACGAGATGTGGAAATGATAATCCCAAAGCCATTGACTTGTAGAGCTTCAATATACAAGTTGAAAGTTCTAATTCAGCTTTGCAATCAAACATCAATACTATGAGATTTCGAGAATAAATAACCTTAGTATGTACCAAAGCTAATTCTCAAGAATAATTGGCGTAGTAGAATTTATACAAGTAATTTTAGTCAAAAAATGAAAACTAAAGTGTAACTATTATTTCGAAACCCAGTTAGAAAATATTTGTTTAGTCCCAACTTTTTAGATGCCTTTTTTTTCCCTCACTTTTTTTTGCAGTAAATCTCTGTTACTCATTGTGAGAAACGTTTTTGTTTCTCACAGTGACAATTTTGTAAATAAAATGTACCATCGTGACTAAAGTGGTACAATTTTATCATTCATTTCGTAAATAAAATGTACCATCGTGACTAAAGTGGTACATTTTATTTACAAAACTACCACTGTGAGAAACAAAAATGTTTCTCACAGTGAGTAATGAGGGCGTTTTTTTGATATTAAAATTATTCCATTGATTCAAAGTCATATGGTATTTACCATAAGAATAGGTTCATTGATTAAAACTTTGACTGGTAAACTTACCAAGGTAAAGCATATTCAAAAGTTTGTACAACAAGTAGTAAAAGGAAATTTCCAACAAATTCTTCAATAACTAAAAAAGGTGATTCTTGATGTGTTTGATACTTTGATTTATGGAGGCAGAATTATTAGTAGTACTACAGGGAAATGCAACTCTATCCTAGACAACATTATTAAAGCTTCCCTAAAACTAGAGTGCAAACAAGAAGCCATTTCATGATGTAGCGAACTCGGACATAAAACTCTCTACAAAGATTGGCCTTCAATAGTATGAGGGGAGTGTTGAGCCCATGAACAAACTCACAAGTGAGTGAAAGTGTTGTCCCACATTGAAGAAACAAGAAGGTTGTGTCCTTATAAGGCTAAGGGGTTTGAGCCCATAAACAAGCCCACATGTGAGTTAAAGTGTTGTCCCACATTGAAAAAACAAGAAAGTTGTGTCTACTTTATAAGGCTAATGAGCTACTCCCCTCATTCTGCTGTATGGTTTTGAAGGGAACCTCCTTAATCGTATAAAGTGGACACTTGTGACGGATGCGGCCAACAGAATGTAGGATATAAGGCCAGAGCAGTTAATCGCCATCCTTGCAACTGCTACCTATGCCAATTAGAATATATACGCGGAAGAAGGTTGGAGGCAGGGAATGCAATAAGCATTGCACCCCCACTAAGAAGTAGAAGAATCCAATATGTGAAGGGCTTTCGTTCCTCTGTAGTATTCCCAAAGAATCATTTTTAACTTAGATTTCATAGTATGCACAGAAAATTCAACGCATGTTTTAGCTCGTGGATAGTCGTACAATATATGCCATGATTCATGCTCATGAAAATGTTAAAATAAATTTTATTTAGGCCATGATTAGTCAGATAACATTAGCATGATATACAATCACTTTTCGTCCTTGTATATCTACCATATAGTTCTTGGCTTTTAGCAGCAGCTTAGATCAGGAATGACGCTTTTACTCTTGGAGAGATCAACTTGTATTCCCCTCCTCTACTCCTCATAGTTCCACGATGAACAAGAGTGAAAGCTCATTTCTTAATTCTCGATCGACACTTCAATATGTACAAGTGTACAACTATAACAACAAAACCTTAGTCCAAAATGATTTTGGGGTCGTCTAACATAAATCGTCATAAGGAACCGTACGATATTTATGGGTATACACTTACTCATACAACAATAAATCAGTAAAAATTAGTTTTAATTAGTCTTAATCAGTAAAAATCAATGTTAAACAGAAAAAAAATTTAACATAAGGTTAGTAATTTTTTTTTTTTTTTTTTTTGGAAAGAAGGTAAAGTTAAGCACAGCAAATATGGATAACTATTGTGATACAACAGAAATAAACTTGATTCTGGAATGCGCTTGACAGAGGCCATAACTATTGTGATACAACAGAAATATGCAAGCATATACTTTCTCTGTTCCACAAATATTGCAACAAGGGTGAAATTACTCATCTCAAAGCACATTTTATGTGTTAAATATCTATAATTATATAAGAGTAAAAATTATAACAAGTTGATATTGTGAAAGTATTTTACGAAACGAATCTACAAGACCCCACATGACTATATTTTACTTTACGTATAAATCATAATTTGTAGTTAAACAAGCATGATGAATAATGCAAAAGTGCAGTTGTTGCAATATTACTAGAACAGAGGAAGTACAACCTAATTAAATTTCCATAAGGCTTGAAAAACGATCTAAATTGCAATTGTGCAATAAAGGAGCCAAATTTATGACATAGGAAGCTCGAATGGGAGTTAGCTGCGAAGATTGGTGATTGTGAAGGATGGTGATAATGTAGATCATTAAACTTCTGAAATTAAATGTTCAGACCAGAATAGCATTATCAACTTAAAAGCACCGGAAACATGTGTCAATTACTCGTTTCTCATCAACATGTCTATGAAATAATCATGGACCAGCTGCAGCATCGTCCATTGGAGTTGCAGGATTATCTTTCTTAGGAGGTCTACTCCCATAAATATAAGAGCAAAATCCCCAGAATGTAACGACCAAAGAAAGTATTTTGAAACCACTCATCGGGTCGCTTAGCAGTATGACTGCTGCAATGCTTGTGAGCGGCACTCTGACAGCATTCAGAACCCCTGCAAGCATAGTTGATGCTAAAAACAGCACTGCTGTGGCGCCCAACACTCCTAATTGAAATGTTATCGCACCCCAAACAAGAACCATGCAGTATGAACTTTTACCGCCTTTGAAATTTCTGGCCTCTTCTTCCATTCCTTGGAAACTCCTATCCACAACAAGACCCATTGTTGTAAATATAAATGCGAATAAAGAAACCATGACCTGCTGCTCAAGCACTACATGGAACGAGATTCTTCCCAACAGCTTCACAAATAATAACTCAGAAAGCGCGAATATGAGTCCATGGAGAGCAGATCCCAAGATATCCCATATAAATCCCATAGTGTACTGGGTTTTACTCACATTACCGTATAAATCTGAGTCTGAATCTAATGCAATAATGGCCAAAGCAGCAGTAATCATGAAAACAGAATTTATAATGGAGGCATTTACCCTGTTTCCAACAAGAAGATAACCAAATAATGCAGAAAAGACGAGGGATGAAGATGCTAGAAGAGAAGCAGTTGATGCTGGAAGGTAGGCATAGGCATATGCATACAAGAGGTTATCAGCCGCGCTTAAGAAACCCACAACTGCATAACAAAGAGTGAGTTTCAAGTTCAAACGCGTAGGAAATGTGTTGCAAAAGAAGTAGGTAGGAATTAAGGCAAATACTGTTAATGGCCATCCTGCAACTGCTACCCATGATATAATCCATTTGCTTTTACCCCCGTTGGAATAATACAAACGCGACAAAAGACTAGAAGCAGGGAATGCAATGAGCATGGCACCCCCACTTAGAAGTATAAGAATCCAATACGAGAAGGGTTTTCCTTTGTATAACTCCCAAAGTATCTTTTTTAAGTTAGACATGTGATGCCTTAGTGTATTGGATGAGGTCGAGTTTGACTCCATTGGTCTATCCCCTAATATGGAGACCCTCAGCGAATCTTCTTGTCTAGCTAATGCTTCCTGGTTTGTCATTTGATCACAAGGATGTTTCCTGCATAACATCAATAATTAAGTATAATTGCAATTATTCAAACTGTTTCATTAACTAACTACTTACAAAAAGTAACAAGGAAACAAACCAATTCTATAACCAATCAGTATTACCCCATCAGTTTCGTGGTTTCAAGACTTTCAACCAATCATAAACGCAGAGCATGCTATATACATTATTAAGATTATACAAAACTCAGACTTTAGTATTATCTTATAAATGCTAGCTACATATTTTAGCATATGAATCAGCAATGCATGCATGATTCATGCTCACAAAACACTAAATAAAAAATACTAAATACAAAAATAGGTCAGTATTCATGACTAGTCAGTTAATAATGGCATGACATAAATCTTTAGTTTTGAGTTTGTATATCCTCTATATTGTTCACGCAATAGCAAAGATCATAAACAACTTTTTCCTTTTCCTCCTTGCAAGTTACATTTGTAACAATCAAAATTAGCTTATCTACTCAGTTGATTAAAGGGGTTAAAAACCTCACCAGTCCCCACCATGAACACGAATGAAACCCCTCAATTTACTACCTTCACTTCTTTGCCAATTAAATGCCCCTTCACTAGAGCATCATCTCCAATTCTTTTCCTCGAATTTCCATCTTAAAAAAAGGCCATCTAAGTTAGCAAAAACGATTTTTAAATATGCCTGATGGTTCCCCTCATACACACCCAACTATAGATATATTCCGATCCTCCGGTTTCTAAAAAATTGCAACACTTTGACTAAAAATTTGAGAGCTTTTCGAACAATTCAAACTCTTGCAATTTTTTTGAAACCAAGGAAGTATAACTAGACCCGTAGACCACAGAGTATGTACACGAAGGCTTTAAGCACGAAAAGTCTCATAAAGATCGCGTTTCCCATTTCCAAAAATTGGAAACTACAAAATCTCAATGAAACTTGGTGGGAAATTAGCTTTTCATGAATCTTTAGATTATCACCAAAACCTTTTTTTTTGGCCTTAAATAAATGATAATGGTAAATTAAAAACGAAAGATTAAGAGTTAAGCATTAATAACATGATTGATGTATGATTTTGTCCTACATTTCCTAACATGTATGACTTTAAAAAGAAATGTATCTAATGTTTATGTCAATTATCTGTAGCCCTAAAAGCAGTATATATCATAACCAAAAAAAAAAAAAAATGCAAAGATTTTTAAAGGAATTTTTAAAACAAAATTTAATTCATTAATTGAAATTAAGACATAACCAATCAAACTGGACATCCTGTAAAAAAAATATATATATTAAATTAAATTGGACATCTGTATTAAAAATTAAATGAAAATTTCTTTTCATGGTTTCTATAATTCTGCTCCCCAATAAAAGACCCAATAATAAAAAAAAAAAAATAAATAAAAAAAAAAAACTATAAATTAAAAGAAAAAATAAAAATAAAAATGATATAACTCAAAATTTTGATGGCAAAAATCTAATTAGAATCATCAGAAATCAAAGAACAGGGCTAAAAACAAGTTCAAAGCACAATAATTCATATAAAAATAAATAAATTCAACATAAATAATTAATAAATTCGTACATTAAAAGAGAATTAAGTATAAATTACCTAGATTAAGGTATTGCTGCATCAGTTTGCAGAAGATCCTTGAAGTCAGCACTCGGCAGACAGCAGTCAACAGAAGAGAAAGAGGAAGAGTGTGGCAAGTATTTTACGTGTGGGTGTGCCTTACGAGGTTTTTTTAAGAAAAAAAAAAATTGAGGGCCTTACGAGGTAGTATTGCCTTTTACTCAACTTACCACGATTTTCTTGTTGTTAAATTTTTTTAATATGTAATACTCTTTTCGTCTCTTATTAGTTAGGAAAAATTGTTCAGATTAATTCAATTTTTGGATCATCCATTCAAAATAATTCCACATTTTAATTATTTTTTAATAATTCGACCTTTAATGTCAATTCGCTTTAAATTGTCCCAACCGGTCATCTGACTTGTTACAACAAGTTAGATAACACGTGTCGGCTTGTGATTAGTCAAAAAATAAAAATAAAAAAGTTTAAATTTTTTTACAAAAAGTTAAAAATAAAATTAATTAATTATTTGAAAACCCACTCCACCAAGCCCAGCCACCTTCCCTGTCGCCCCATCTCCGTCGTCCAATTTCCTGGCTCCCCTGCGCCGTGTCTCCAGCTGCCTAGACCCCAGCGCGGCACACCCCTACCCCCTCTTCCAACCCCTCTTTCCTTCAACCACCCCGTTTCTTGAAATCTGTGTTGGTGGGGTTTCCAATAATGGGCTTAGGGTAGGTGTCTTCTTCCTTGGGACCGATCGACGCAGTCGATTTCAGGCTGGGGGTGGAGTTTCGGTCCGATTAGGTACGATCAAGTGGGAGTGGGGTACGGTTAGGTGGGGATGATGATGGCTCAAGTGGTGTTACAAGGTGGGTTTTTTTCAAAAAAATTTTTTTTTTTGTTATTTTGAATATATTTCTTTTATTAATTTTTTTTACCAATTAAGTGGTGACACGTGAAAATTAAATTTTAAAAAAATAAAAATACCTCCTTAACCTGTTGCAGGTCATTTGGGACCATTTTAAGAAGATTGGCATTAAAAGTTGGATTATTAAAAAATAGGAAAAATTAGTAAAAATAATCCTAACTTTTGCCGGTTTGCTCAAAATAATCCCAACTTTGGATTATTTTTAAATAATCCGAACTTTGGGGGTTATTCATTTTAGACGGTCCCAAGTGACCGGTAACGTGTTAAAGAGGTAAAAAAAAAAATTATTTATGTGGCACGTGTCACTTCGTGATTGGTTTAAAATAAAGAGGAAAAAAAATTAAAAAAAAAACAAGTTGACAACCCCACCCACCAACCCTGATCTCTGGCAACCACCGCCCAGCCTAAGTATCCCCTGCTCCTAACCGTCCGCGTCTAGACCGCCCCTCCTCCGCTTCAACGCCGGCATCGACGCTGCCCTCTCCCCCTAACCACCAAAACCCCCACCACAAAACCCCTTTACCTTCACCCAAAAACCTATAAGAAACCCAACCCTACCGCATGAAAATCCCCCAATCGGCCTTCCCCCACTCTTGGAACCCTAGCACTACGGTTTCGAGGGTGGGGGAAGGCCGCTTTGGGGGGTTTGTGCGGTGGGTTGGGTTTGTTTTAGGGTTTTGGGGTGTTGATAATGGTGGTTTTGCGGCGGAGGTTAGGTGATTTAGGGGAAATGATTGAATCACCGGCACCGGCGTAAGGTAAGGAGGGTCTGGGAGCAACGTTGGCATGAGGGAAGGTCGGTGGCGTGGTTGGGGGCCTCGAAAGCAACCTGGTGGTGGAGGTAAGGAGGGTTGTCGTGGGGGCTGGATTTCTTTTAAAATTCTTGATTTTTTTTTTTAAGTTTTTTCTTTTTTAAAACAAAAAATTTAACCGATCATATGGTGCCACGTGTCCCCGTAACCTGATATAACAGGTTGGGTGACCGGTTGGGACTGTTTAAAGCGAACTACCTCCAAAGTTTGGATTATTTAAAAATAATCCAAAGTTGAGATTATTTTGAACGAACCGGCAAAAGTTGGGATTATTCTTAGCAATTTTTCTTAAAAAATAATCGAAAGGTGGGATTATGTTGGATGGATGAGGCAAAAATCGGATTATTGTGGGCAATTTTTCCTATTATTTATTCTATTTGATCATTTTTTGTAAGGGTGTATTATTTTAGAATATTAGTATGGCGTAATTTAGATAAACACAAATTAAAATGTGAAGTTACTATTGTTGTTTAAAGAGTTTCAAGGGCAGGTGATGAAAATTGATCACAGATATCTCTAAATCGAAAGAAAAACTTTAACCACTTAAACCTATCGCTCACTCTTAAAGTTACTACTGTTGTTGAAAACTCAAACTCGCTTTTGTACAAGTTAAAGACAAATCCTTTCTAATTTAAACTGCAATTTGCAATTAGCTTTGCTTTAAAATTATTCGTGGTAGTTGGAGGTAAAATGTCCTTTGCTCCGTTGGAGAAATAGTGTCCTTACAAATTTAAGCCTTATTAGCCACAATTTCAACACTTCGTATTTTTTTTATAGAGATTTGTTAATTTGTTGTGTATGTGTGTTTTTTTTTTTTTTTTTTTTTTCGCCTATATACTAAACTTTGATCGGTGAGATTAGCCTTTGCTAACACTCATTTATCGATGAAAGTGAGTGTAATTAAAAATGATAATTTTGCAACCAATTCAAGACAACTTAAAATTAAATAACTTACTAAATAAATATAAGAATTAGACGATTAATTTAAGACGGATAGAGTACAAAACCAGGCATGTTTTGTTATATAATCATGTTAAAAAATACTTATGTGCATGGATAACGACTTATAACTTCTTTATTTGAAAGATTATGCAACAGCTATTTACTGAAGGTTTTGTATGGCAAATTTCTGTACTATGATTATATAAGAGCGCTTCAGTGAGTATGCAAACACCTCAAAGACTTGGCACATAAAATAAAACCCCTAATACGAATACAAGTCCTTCGGGCTATCTCACACTTCAATGCAATCAATACATCGATCAAAATACATGCACACATTATAAGCCAAGTCCCGCCTTATGCTTGAAGTCATTCGACAGGTTATCAATGCATGGAAGAATAAACAATTCCAATAACAAGTGGTTTATATAAATTTTACATCTGTCTGCCGGTGTGTGAGATCAAAATTGAACAACATATTCCTTCTTCAGTAACATGTACTCGATCAGAAAGATCACCAACTAGTAGAAATCATATTGCATTACTGGAGGGAAAAATCTATTTACTAGCTAGTCATAATCATCAATGAAGTCATACGTTGTATCTTGTATAACACAGGTAAAGAACCAGCTAAAGAAAAGCAGGAAAATTTAAAAATGTCGGCAAATATCCAAGTGTTTCATCTCTCCTGATTACCTACAAGGAGAGAAAATTCTAGAAAGCATGAAACTTGCATATTACCGTCAATTCAGCTTTGATGTAAAAGGAACTCACAAAAATAATTTCCCTCCATCCTACCCTATTTGGCATTTTGGCTTCCCTTACCCATCTAACAATAACTTCAACAATCATCCACAATAAGCTATTATGAAGTATGAACTTACAGATGTCCTAATGATTCAAGTTTCAGCATGTAGCAGTCACTGCAATCAAAATCGTCTAATGTCTTTAGGTGGCTTAAAATTGAGAGGATGGGTTTCAGGGGTAGCAGTCTCATCCTCTTTCCACATTTTGATAGTCTTGTCAGCTTCACAAGTTACCAGCCTTGAGCCAGTGAGATCATAAGAGAGCGCATAGATACCAGCCTCACTATCCAGTGAACCTGCAGTAGCAGAAACACGTGCTTAGAGCTTAGTCCTTAATTTACGAGCTCAATACAACAACAAAAAGCACATACAGATACTATAACATACCAGGTTGCACAATAGTTTGAGCTTGCTGAAAATTATGACCACTAGTCCAGTCCCAAAACCAAAGGCTACCATTGTCACCTAAGATAAAACAAAAAGACGTATAAAAAAGAGTGATTTGCAAATATCTCATGCAACAGAGATCAAAAATTAAGCAATCAGTGCACAAGGACAAAGAGCCAATTACGTTCTTGAAATACACAGTATTCTCACATGTTCCAATTCACAAATTATTATTCAACTCACAAGTCTTTAATGAATTCAAGTTTTATAGTGCCCTGTGATAATTCTTTAAGGTTCATAATTTCCTAATTGTAGTACTGCGACTACTGCCTCTGTTCCTTTTACAAGTACAAGGCATGCTGAACACTTTTGTGCATATTAAAATTTCAGATCTTTTTTTGTTAAAATTGCTTTGGTAATGTAAGTTGAGATACAAACATTGTATTTATGATAATATATAGCATTTAATCTTCTGTTGATACAATATAGAACATTTAATGTTACATTGGTACAATAGAGTAAGGGTTGAAATATGAAATTTGGCTAAAAATACTTATCATCTAGAGATGAGATTGGTTACTCATAGCCACAAGCCCCAAAGGACTACGTGTAAGCATTAAATACATTGACCAAAATGACCATCCCTCCTGTTTCCTGCTACTCACTTTACCCTTTCATCCAAATTCTTAGTTCTATTCATTATTACTTTATTTCCTTTTTGGCAACCTTCTATAAAGTTTTTATCATCTCCTGCCTCATCTTGCGTAAACCCTTTTCTTTAATTTATATCAATCCCTCACTATCTATCTCTCTCGTCCCTAAAAGTGAGTACACATTTAGGTTTCTCCCTTTCTAGAGACTTTAGTTGCTAAAGTAACTCAAAACTCAAGGGACTATCAAGTTGGAATTAAATGACAAAATCACATGTTTCTCCAAATTTATATGTTAACAAATTTCACTTCATAAAATGCTAGAACATTGTCCTAAGGGATATGTTTAAAATTTCGCAAAAGAAAGAAACTGAGGGAAAAGCTTTTACATTTTAACACCCAGAGATTATAAACCTTATGGGTTTGCATTTCCCGAAAAAACGGTAGTTCTTGAAGAACTCAGAATACTTCCATACATAGTGCTTCTAAACACATAAAACTCGTAAACATAATTACATAATTATGTAACCTACAACCTAACATAATGCATTCCCTTACTTTTGAATCATGAAAGTGATCCTATGCTTTATAAGCCATACGATACAGACATCATAGAGGACTTTAAAGCAGAGAGACAATATTAACTCACTTAGTGATCATCATATTTGATCAAACACATGACTAAGGATCAATCAGGGAAATTTGAAGCAATTTTTGAACAAAAAAAAATGAAAAACAAACCTGCTGTAGCCAAGACTCCTTCCTCGTTGACAGCCATCGCATTGATGATTGTTTTTTGCTGAGACCTGTCCCAAAAGAGATGGAAAGATACAACACGTATTAGATGACAGCCACCCAATTACCAAATTCTGGCCAAAATGATTTCAATCATACACTTTATGCCAAGTTTGAAATGACAAAATAGGGACTATACAAATATCATAATATCAGGGTATGCATTCTAGAAGTTCCAAGACTTACAGCATGTTATGCATAAACTCTCCTTTTGGGAGGGTGAACTTCTTTATGTTGTCAGCAGAGGCAGATGCAAACATATTCCTGCAATGCCACAGAGCATAGCAAGGTTAAAGAAGTAAACAAAAAACAGAAAATCGTGTTCAATTATCCACAAGATAATGAAGAGCCAGGCATTACAGCAAAAAGAAATAGATACTCTAAGAGGGTAGTAAAGAAACAAATATTAGCAACGCACTCTTTGGGATGCAACGCCATTGCTCGTACAGACTTCTTATGATGCGTGAGTGTTGTCATTGTTTTTCCTGCATGTCTCAAGTCCCAGAATTTTATGGTTGAATCATGTGAACCCGACACCACTTGAGGATCCTAGCAAAAGAACTTATTAAGATTCAAACAGCAATATAAGCCTTAAAAAATCTGAAGGGAATATAACAACAAGAGGGGGAAACTTACACTATGTTTGGCTGACAATAGTGAAGGGAAAGGGAGGGGAAGGAAAAAGAGGGAAGAGAAAGGGAGGTGAGGGGAAGGAAGGGGAGGGAAGGGAGAGAGTGACCTTTCATTTTCCTTCCAAATATCTCCAATAATGGAGGGATTTGGTTTAGTAAAATGAGAAGGAAAATGGATCCCTTCGTTTCCTTTCCCTTCCCTTTCCTATGCCAGTAGAGGAATAGCTTAAACTTTAGTTTTTGTCTGTTAACTAAATCCCAGTTAAAAGATCAACAATGAGCAGAATTATTAAAAATATAAATGAGTCCTGGATCTTGTAAAAATTTGATAGGTTACCAATTATTGGCTAACAGCCTAACTAATCGCAATTGTCAGGCTTTCATAAATTGTGAAATGTTGAGTTTCAGGGTTGGTTTGAACATTCCTGGAGCTGAGTATTTTTTGTCATACTAAGTTACCAAAAAAAAAAAAAAAAAAAAAAAAAATTATGCTACTATCTGCATTATTGCTCACTTGTTCTAAAGTATCACTACCTAGATTATACTATAATAATAATAAAAATAAAAATAAAAAAAATAAAAATAAAAATTCTACTAGTATAGACTGTAAGGGTGAATAAGCATTTCAGAGACTTTCATGATACGGGACTTCCTCCACGTCCCCAAAAAACTCAACATTGTCCACAAAACCTAAGTCATCAATAAGAAAGCCATAGCACATTTTTCTAAAAGTAAAGTCCAACTTGTAGATCTCATAGTGTGATAGTGATATACCTAAACTTCGCCGGAAACCTCAAGAATCAAAACTGTAATAAACAGGCATGGATGTCTTGCCAGGAATATTACCACCAATGAGAGCACTTGATATGGATATCACTCATTTCAGTCACAGCTAAAAGACCCAGGATGATGAAGCACACAGAATTTACATATATCAGAAGCCAGAAGACTGCTTACAAATTCCTTATTTCATTTTGCTTTTCTGGTTATTCTGCCCCCTGTCCTCTTCTGAACCTCTCTCAAACACTTGCATCATATCCACTGTTGCATAAGAGGGAAATAACCCAAACTCACACATAGAAGGCACTAGGACAGTGGGACCAGGTTTTTCCATACAGGTTTACATGGAGGGTCAGGACATAGAGACAAGGAAAGTGATAAAACTACCAATTCAGGCAAATTTGTTAGCAAGGAAAGAAGCCAAATTGATATTGCTAATCCCTCTATCCCTCGAGAGAGGAAAAAAAAAAGTTTCACTGTCTCAATAGACCTTCCACATTTAATTTCTTTGATAAAATAACAACTGATAACTAAAACGCTTATCACCTAAAACTATCTTCCATGTTAAGTGTTAAAACCAATATGGAAGTATTGGGATGGAGTATATCAGAACAGTGTGCCTAAGGTGCAAGACAGCTTAAACAAAAATGTACAAAGTACAGCCTCTTCATCTGAAATGGAGAGCGAGTAAACCACTAGTTATTCAAAGAAGCTAACATACCGTAGGTCGAGTGAACACAGAACAGACTGTATTTTCATGCCCTGACAAAGCAAAGATTTGTGTTTTGCTACGAATGTCCCAAACCTGAAAATTAGAAGGAATAAAAATCATTCAAACAAATAAATTGGGAGCATTATCCCCTATTATAGCTTAGAAAGTTGCATTACAAATAACACAAAAACTAATAAAAAAAGACATACCCGGCAAACCGAATCACGGCCTCCAGTAAGCAATACATCAAGAGTGGGATGAAGAGCCAGGCAGTAAACTCCACTTAAGTGGCCATGATAAGAGCGAATGACCTGAACGAAATAGCATTAGCAAGGCACAATTGCCAGAAAACAAGAGCATGATAATTTTTAAGAGAATATCTTCTTTTTTCAAGTGTAGGGTTTAGACAGCACAATTCCTATCCATCAGGCAACAGCATTCTATGCACAGTAAATAAAGTTTAATATCCTCGTAGAAAGGTTATAGGTAGCATGAAAAGGTCACTCCATAATCCATATGTTTAGCATCTACGCATATAAAGTTTACATTATTCTCATAACAGCCGAAGTTCCTTCAAAAATGACATACACAACACATAGTGTCCACAATAAAGAGTTAAAAAATCTAATCTCTGAGTACTAATGCATCTAAAAATTTTTGGTTTTTTTTTTTTTTTTTTTTTAAATTATAACCAATCAGAACTGTATAGTACTCGGTAACAAAGGATATTTCCAGCATTCGGTCATTTACAAGATAGAAGGTGACCTTACTCGGAGGCACTTTAATACAACAGAAACTCATATAAAGCAAGTAGATTCCTGCTCCAAAAAATTCATTACTCTCATAACCAGGCGGCTTTTTTTTTTTTTTTTTTTTTAAAAAAAAAAAAAATTATTATTACAAAAAGAATCAGATAGTTTCATCAGTGATAAGTAACATAACAGTAGAAGATGTAAATTTAACATCAAACTAGAAAAAATAAGGGGGAAACCCATGAAAACAAGAAATGAGGTTAAAAAACAGCTAAGTGTTCAGCATATAGAGGCTAAACCAGATCCAACTATTGGATCAGATATCAGCTTACCTTATTCTGCTCAAGATCCCAGCACTTCACCATTTTATCATCACCAGCAGAGAACATATAGGTATGCCTCTGGCTAACAGCAAGCCCTGGAAGAAAAGGTATATAACTAAATGTATTAAGTATATAACAGACATTATATGCTGTAGCAATTCAATTATACCATCTAACTCCTATGATACTAACCTCTAACTTGTTCAATATGTCCAGTAAGAGTAAGTTTCAATCGCCCACTTGCTACATCCCAAATCTAAATCAATAAGCAAAGCTTGTCAGCAATGACCTTATAATTCAGTTTACAAATGAATACTCACAATTCTACCATCAATTTTCATCTATCACAGTTTTCAATAAGTTTGACCATCCTTTCAGTTTTGAAACACACAGTATGATTATCCAGATTAGATTATAAGATAAATCAAAGATATGTATGTTGTTTGAAACTTATTTCTTTGGTCAAGCCATCTTCGGACGTCGAGGGTGTTTAGACCAATCACAGTAATTCAGAACCAGCCGAGCCCTCTTGGAGACTAGTCCACCCGACACACACATACACACATCAATTCAATATATAATACAGCTGTTTTTTTTTTTTAACACAAACTGCTATTTGGTGTACAGAGTACTTAATCTTGATAGTTTGCATATAAGATTATAAGCATTTTAGTAGGAAGGATAAGCAGCTTGCACTCATTTTTACTCATTATATTCAGTACAATTGAATAAAAGCTTGTACCCCATATAATGATGTGTAATACACAAATACATAATTTTTAATGGCTTTACTAAAGGCATTCTGTTACATCACAGTAATTATACAGAATGTAATGTTGGGGTGTGTACTTCCTGTGTGTGGGTATGTGTGTGTTGCGTGTATGTATCCTCCTAGTTTGAGGTGACAAATCACTTTTATTGTAAAAGAAAATAATTAACAGAAACGTTAAAGATAAAAGTGCATTGACATTAATGATCAATTATTGAACAGCAACAGCTTTTATGCTACCAAATCTTAGTTCGCTCAAAACTATTAGATCCTGTTTAATGTATGTTAGAGTAGATCTAAACCAACATAGTCCAATTTTTCACTTCTAAGGGTCAACATAATACACCTTGCACTGCTCATTCAGCATCCATTTACAAAGTTGAAATTGTCAGCCTACAACGGAAATAGCCTAACCACAATCCTCACAATTTCTTTACACATAATTTTCTTTACAAGAATGGACTAATTCTTATCTTTCAGATTTAACCACCCCATCAGCTTAAAACTTGTGACAATATTTGTTTAGTAATGATACATGGCTTCAGGATTTATTTAGCTATTGTCTTCCAAGTTTCTCAGACAACATAAGTCCACATCAGTCAAAACACATACAGAAAATAGAATTCCTTTCCAAAATGATATGAGAAATATATTTTTGACAGAAGAAAATTTACTAAACCTTAATAGTACGATCAGCTGAACCCGTGCAAAACCAACTGTTACTTGGATCAAAGGCAACCGATCTCACCCATCCCAAGTGGCCACTAATCACCTGCAAAGATGAGAAGAGACAATATGTTATTAGTTGCTACAAAAAAATAACATAGATAGCTGAATTATACTATTACACCTTAATAATGAGCCACTAATGTAGAAGATTATGCAAGATGAATACCCAACCTAGTAGAGTTTTTTTTGTTTTTTTTTTTTTTTTGGATTCACCCACATAATTACTCATGTACTCATGTTTGAAATCCTAGAGGAGTAACAAGTGAGGATTTGAAATTTAAGACAGCAGAGCCCAATTACACGTATGCGCTTGACATAACCAACCAACCAAACACCCCCACCCTTTCCCGGAAGTTTAATATTGATTATACAACAAATAATTAAAACACTAAAAAATAAAATACATATACAAAATACCAAAGCTCAACCCTTCTCTTCCCTACCTGACCACATCATTTCCTCTCACTTGTCAACCAATGCCCCTCTCTCCCAAGACCACTGCCATAGTCCCATTGCCAACTTCTCAAAAACTGTAGGGCCTCCCCCTCCCTTCCCGAATCCCCCACCACCACACCTCCTTCTCCAACCTAACCACTATTAACCTCACCCCACCACTCTTCCTTCCCACTAGGAGTTATTTCCCCATCCATCTTCCTAAGCCATGCATGCCTCCGTCAGATTGCCCCTTCATAATTTATGAAAAGAGAGGAATGGATAGATAAAGGCCAAAATCTGGGGCATTTTAATGGTTGGATTTGATCACCAAGGATCCATATGTGCAGTCTGACCTCCAATTAATTAAGACTAATTAAACATTTCTTCATGGTAAAGGGTGAACAAGGTCAAGAGCAGAAAGTGGATGACTTTAAACTAAAAAGTTAGTTACCACTTAAAAAGCACTTCTGTGCATCTGCTCTGCCTTAGATTTCTTTAAAACTGTGGTTGATGGAGGAAAATATAGGGAGCTTGATCATAAGTATAACCATTGACGACCTTTTAACCCACTTCTTTTGTCACCACCAACCAGCACTATCATCGCCAGTTGTCCTTTTCTCCATAGTTACTTATTCAACCAACCATCATCTGTACAAATCTTTCCCCCTACTCCTATATACCCTACTGATACATGATACTAATTTCAGTACTTTCCCCTCCCCTTCAGCCCATCCTTGCTTCTTACATGGTTCCCCATGTATTCAAAAGAAAGTGTGCCCTCTCCTTTGCAATATATACAAGACCCTCGTATACTGGTCACAGACCCCTCCCCCCCCCCCCCCCCTCTCTTACATTGTACTTTCTAAGTTTTAACTTACAATCCTCTATTTAATGTAAAAGGTAATGCTGGTTGTAACCTTTATACTTCCTCCGTTCTTTTACTATCGCACCATATAGGTTGGGCACAATTTTTTTGGTAGTGGAAAAAAGGAAGAGAGAGAGGGGTAGAAGTACAAAATTAACCATGTAATGTAAGCATAAACTAAAGAATCAAGTGTTTAAAGTAAGGGTATATTGGGTATTTACAGTGTGGACAGAGACATTTTGTTTCCATAAATGGATATGGTACAATATTTGTGAAACTTCCTTAAAAGGGAAGTGGTGCAATAATTAAAAAACAGAGGAAGTATTAAAAATCTATTATAACAAAAAAAGTTGTCTCTTGCTTATTGCTGATGCGAATGTGCCATTGTGCCCCCCTTAAATTATACCTCGCACTTTATAAAACAAATGTATGGCAGATCATAATCAAATTAACAGCATGATTCTATATGCAAGAAATCAGAAAATACTAGTATCAGGTATTTATAGCTCGAAATCCTGCACTACTGTTTTTTGTTCTGTATTGTTCTTTTAGACAGGCAAAGGCATCAAAAGCAGAGAAGTAAACACATGAACGAAAGATGCAGATAAAACCGTTCTTACATCGATTTGAACTATTTGCAATCAGATCAAGAAAAAAAAAAAATTAATAAATCCAAGATATGAACAAGGCAAAGCCAAACAGACCTTACTCATAGCGACTGCAATTGAAATCTACTTTGTGAAACAGCACAAATCTAGATAAAAGAGAACAAAAAAATAAAATTTTCTCACCCTGTAGTTCTTCCATGGAGCACGCCACACAGGCCTTGGCCATCTACTTGGAATTCGCTCCATAAGTGCAGACGTTGAGAACCTTGAATTGTCGCACACAAGGTAAAATTCAAAATAGGTAAGCAGAGATATTATCTAAAAGGACCTGCATTGAGAATCAATTACGAAACAATCCCCCCCCCTCCCCCTCCATTAAGTGCAATTTAAATCTGCATTATATCAGAGCTAACCAGCCAAGAAATGTCAAAGTCGACTGGGTTATAACTTATAAGGTCCAATTACACACAAGCATTTGTACATATTAAGTCTATCACATAAAGTACTTCATTAACTTCAGATTAGGCATCGAGTTGTACATATAGCACTACATTGTACAATAGTCAAAATTCAATTCAACCAACCATGATACTAACCATGATTACTGGTTAACATGAATAAACATTAAAGTAAACAGACCAGTTTAGCCTTTCCCAAATAGACTCCCCACTTCCTTTTTGGTATACTCTAAATATTAGTTAGCATATACTTCCTCAGCGCCTCAATAGTCTTCCGACTTTTAAATTATGGCCTATCCAAAACATACTCCCCAGTCCCCACTTCCTCTTTGGTATGGGTAGTTATAAAATAAAGGAAAATATCCTAAGGTACCCCTCAGATTTGGCATAATTCTAAAGATGCCTCTATTGTTTAAAATTTTTCAAATACCCCTTAAGATTTTAAACATTGATCAAAATACCCTTGCTATGGACGGAAAAGCTATCGACGCTAACTTTATTTTGATTTTTTTTTAAAATCTAGTTTCCTAGTTCCTCCTCCATCAAACCTTATTCTCTTTCACCTCATTAGAACATTGCTTCTTCTGGGTCTTTAATGAATTCAACTCTCCCCCCTCTAGACAATTAAAATTCATAATCCGTTGCTCAATCCTCCTTATTCTTATTATTCTATTATGATTCAAAACTCACAAATTAATATACAAATATAACAAATGATATAATTAGAAGAATCATCATCATCCATGGTTGACATTTGACCTCTCAACTTCCCTAATTCTTTCTTGAATCTTAGTCAAATACTCAAATTTTTCTCATCTTTCATTATCATCATCATCTGTAGCCTTTGAAAAGTAATGAGTGTCACATTTCATATTTATAAAAATAAAGGAGAGAGACTGAGAGAAAAAGGTTTAATGGAGGAAGAGCAAAGGAAAATGAATTTCCAAGAACTTTTTTTTAAAATAAAACTAAACACCGTTCACTTTCCATCCATAGTAAGGGTATTTTGATCAATGTGTCAAACCCCCAAGGATATTAAAGGAATTTCAGTAAACGAGGGTATTTTGAGAGTTATGACAAACTTGAAGGGTATCTCAGGAGATATCCCTAAAATGAATATACCCTTACCTACTAATTTTTTCAAAAGAAAACAGGATTATTGTTGTTAGCTGAGAAACCAATATACATGCAAACGAGGACAAATGGGTGATGCTTGAAATCCCTGCCGTCTTAGCCCATAATGTCACCAAATAGGATCCAACCAGGTACACCTGTGTCGGTATCATATGAACACGAACCATTTTACCTAGAGTGGGAAGCATAGCTAAGAACCCCGTGTGGATCTCACCCAATTTGTGGCAACCCATTTGTGCTCCTAATGACTTAATGCCAAGGGAGTTAAGGGACTTGAAGTCACACAAAAACACCACAACTAAACCCAAAGCATATCGCGTAGTCATTTTCCTACCTCCCAACTCAAATGACGATCTTTCCTATAGCTGATAGATCTTAACCACAAAATTTTCCATCACCATAGCTGGAGCCGGAGAGATAATAGACATATCGGACATGAATGAATCAAAGTTATCTTCCCACCAAGAGTAAAGAAAACATTAATTTGCCAATCAAATCTCCTAAATATCTTGAATAAACCTTTCTCTCACAGCCCACAATTTCTCTTTCCTTAATCCGCCAATCAAATCTCCTAAATATCTTGAATAAACCTTTCTCTCACACCCCACAATTTCTTTTTCCTTAATCCCACTATATTCTCACCTAATTTCTCTTCCCTAAAATAAATAATATTTCCCTACAAACTCATTCATTATTAAGACTCTAAATTTCAATGACCCATACAAGAAATATCTTAAACCTATATGCTCAAAAGTTTGGGTAGAATATTAAGAGATGGAAAGTGTAGAAATTGATTTAAAATAACCATTATAACCAAATCTGTTGTCATGCAACATCTGACATTAGCTGAAGGTTTAAGTTTTACAGTCCAAGTGTAGATTCTAACACTAAGGCTACAAAGACCACATCCTCAAACTCAAACTTTGAACTATAAGCAAAGCCAAACAGCAAAAATTCAGTATTAAAAAGTAATTAAACCAACATAGACTCAGAGAGAGAAGATAGATAACATATAAAACAACAAAGAAAAGGTGAGTTACGTACCTTTCAGAAGAACTGGGAGTCGAGATAAGTGCATTGCTTTTACTAGGACCAACTTCAGTCCTGGAAACAAGAAAATGAAGCCAAACAAAATATATCAGAACTATAAAAAGACTGACAACTATGAAGTAGATGAAAATGTTGCAATTCCAATCTTACTAACTCAGATAAAAAAAAAAAACCTAGAGGTTATCTTATTATAGTTTTATGATACTTAGAATTGAATCAACAATCCGCTAATCAATATACCGCAGTTAAAAAGTTTACTTTGAGGCCTGTGACACCAAAATGGATTTGCCACAGGACATTAACGCTTCCGATTCCAACCCAACACTTAAATTTCAAAGCAAACCAATAACAGAACATACTGTCTCGAGTGAGCAGCTGGAGCAACAACTAGAGCATTATGAGCACCTCCTCTTTGTCCGTCTTCTGGAGCTAATTAACCGTAAAAACAAGTCAAAAGGGTACTCGAATACAAATCAAATCACTTCCAAAAAAAAAAACCTCAAATAATACATAAAATGGCACAAAAATTACCAGGAAGAGCAAGGGGATCAGATGGAGCAGACGACTTCTGCTTAGCAGGCTGAGGCTGAGCTAATGTAGGTTTAATTCCTCCATATTCTAAACTAATCTACAAACATTTTCGAAAATCACCTATCATCAGAATCAACATAATCACCAAAACCCACAAATCAGAATTCAAAAATAATAAAATATATAAAAAAAATAATAAAAAAATAAAAAACGTAAATTTAAGCGGGCAATGATTGACTAACCTTGTGGCTCAACCGCATTTTTTTACTGCAATTGAAGAACAATATACAAAATCAAAAATTAAATTTTTTTTTTCCCAAAAATATTAGGGTATTGAATATTAAGAAGGAAGAGAAAGAAGAAAAAGCAAACCTTTCAGAATCGGGAGAAGGGAATTGAGAATGAAGAGGAGCAAAGACATCAAGAGCACGTTTGAGGGATTTGAAAGTGAGCTTCTTCAATGACTGTCGTTCGACTGGTTCCATGGATCCCATTACACCCGGCATTAATGGCGGATTTGTAAAGCAAAGCAGGAGAATTAGGGTTTGGAATTGTAGGAGATGATGATAATGGGTGATAGGATGAGTAGCAGTAGTAGTAGCAGTAGCAGCTACGAGCGTTTGGAATGCAGCGTCGATGGCGCGCGAAAGGGGTTGCGCTTGCGGAGGTGGTAAGGGAAACTACAGGTCGAGGCAGTGAGAATGAGGTAAGGACACTGCACCAATTGTACACCCGATTAACAGTCTTACACTCTTACGGGGTACTCCGTATTATTGGCTTATTGTCTTACTGTATACTTTCTCCGTTTTCGCAATATTTTTAATGGCCATACATGTAACATGCACAACTTTGATCAGTTATAACCTTTGCACTCATAAATTTTTCTTCTTTTTTTTTTTTTTTTTTTTTTTTTTTTTTTTTGCACAACCTTTGTAATATGTAAATCTATAATAAAGTAAATTCGGTCGAGAATGAGGTCAATGCAATGAGAATGAGGTCAAGGCAATGAGAATGAGGTGAGGACACTACAACAATTGCATACCCGATTCAGCACGTAGATAAACTGGGGAAGTTTATCAAGGGCTAGTTTCACTGTGAAATACTAGTATTTCATTTAAATTCAGGGTTTGGTGTTGTTTGTTCTTCGATTGATGTGGTTGTAATCACTATTGTGAATTTGCGATCATGTGGTTAGAGGCTCGAGCACTGTGAAATACTAGTATTTCACTTAAATTCAAGGTTTGGTGTTGTTTGTTTTTCGATTGACGTGGTTGTAAATCACTATTGTGAATTTGCGATCATGTGGTTAGAGGCTCGAGCTAGGTTTGAAAGCGTTGATTTGGAGTTGAAAACGTTGAAACTTTTGAATTATGTGGTTCATGTAGTCAAATCTTAGTGTTTGTAGTCATTGAATTACATGTAGTTTATACAGTGTAGAAGTTATGTATGAAATATTGAACTTATAACAATTTATGTAAAAGAAAAACTAAGTAATTATACACCCATTTGTGGTCAATCTTTTCGTACACCATCACCATTAACCAACCACTCTGATTTTGGAGAAAACTTGAGTTTATGTCTATAAGCCAAAATCGTCACTTTACAAAGTTAACGCCGTTTGTAGACCTTTATTAGTGCCTCCTGTACATTACACCACATTATTAATTTTTTAAATGCTAAAAATCGTTTTTATTTACAACTATGCCACAAGATAAATGTTCCACTTGTTTCAAAAAAAAAAAAAAAAAAAAACGATAAACGTTCCACAATTATCTTTGCATCAGCTTGGAATTTCTCTTTTTTTGGCCAATTAAAAGAAATTTACTACAAAATAAGCGTTAATAATATAGACCATCAATGCCACAATAAAACAAAATAGATGTGCTTTCCCTGCAAAAAAATAGTAACAGTGCTCAGGCATCCGTGTAACTAAACCCCTACCCTCTAAGAAGGGCTGGGAAAAGTCACTCTTCATGTGCAGCACCTATCTTAACAAAAATTCTTCTCTGTAGTTCTTACAGCAACCTCAATTATGATGTCTCTGAATAGCACATCAGTTTCATAGGATATTTGCTTGATTCAATCACTCCAAGTCAGAGCTGTCACCCAACCCAATAACCCGAAATCACTCAGAGAAACACGAATCCGGCCCGAAATCTAACCCGAACCCAACCTGTTGACTCAAATCGACAGGTCTACTCCTAGATATGACTAATTTTGCGGCTGGAGAAAATTATTTGTGCAGCAGTTGAGCAGTAGCAATAGTCTTCTCCAAATCCCACTCTCCATAACCTTTATGAACTGGTAATACAGGTTGAGGATCAACAACTACCTTTTCCAATGATGGAAGCTTAGCAAGTAGACGTTGAACCAGTTTAGCATATTTCGCACACCCACGAAAGCCGATAAATTCTATCACCTTCAGTTGCTTGTGTTGGTAAATGGTCTTTCTTCTTCGAATCTTAATGTCACTATTTATTTTCCCGAACACCTTTAACTGCATCACAAAACTAGAGATTAGTAAGATGGCAAAACAGACTTAACTACAATCCAGTAATATTCCCTTCTGCAGCAATATAGAACACTACAGTTAACATACATGACAACAATTTCAACATCTTCCCAAAATTAACTTATGTCATTATCATATCGGTAATTTTCAATAACTACTCTATAATTATTAACATCATATTTAATTATAAAAAAAAAAAAAAAATCTATTTAAATTACTACTTTGTAAAATGAATTAATTATGAAAGAGTCTATTATTAGCAAAATAGATAATTTAAAATACACATATATGTATATTTATATATATGTCACTAACTAATTTATATCATTTCTTCTTTTAACCAAATGAATATCTTACAACTATGTATCTAATTCGTAAATAGATTTACTGTTTACACACTATTAATCCATTCCCTCTTACGCGGTATTTATTTTTCTTCTCAATAATCAATTGGCTTAGAAAAAAATTCATATCTTTCCTAGCAAGCTTTTCAAACATAATTAAATACACAAATATTTTTAAAAAAGATAATCCTTGTTGTAAAAATGGTAAGAGTAGTATATAGCACTATGTATGTCACAAATTATGTTAAGAATTTGATTTTCATTTTTTTAACTTTAGCTTATGGTATCAATATATATAGTGCAAGGATACATTAAATCATTTTAATCTTCTATTTATATATTAGATTTGTTTCCCCAATAGTTTTTGTTTTTTTTTTTTTTTTTTGGACACACCAGAAAATGACACGTGTCATTGCTGGTGTGTCTTTTAGTATATAGTTATTGATTGATTATTCCATAGAAGCAAAGCATAGTTCAGTCAACACATGATAACAAGAAAGTGGATCCAAAAAGCTTGAAGCAACTAATTTGCAAGCTAAAGCTATGCAAAACAGCTTTACACAGCTTCCCCCACATCATTTGATAGAAGGTTGAAAGAGATACTCCATGCCATTATACAAGGCCAACGCACTTTATTCTATACTCATCTGCAATGGAATACTAAGCATAACATCTCTCCCGAACTACACATTCAACCACACACATATGCAACGACGACAACGATGACGAAGGATATTAAATAAAATTACTCTATGGCGATTTATAAGGATAGTAAATTCAAAACTAAAACCAACTATTTATCTGAGACGGGAACTTAATAATAAGCAAGTTAAGCTCTAAAGAGATAACTCAGGGTTAGACCACCTATTATTAAGTGTGGGATGGAATGGGGATGAAAGATAAATAGGCTATGTTTTATATGAAGGTAGTTCATGAGATTTTTCATGAGATTTTTGAGAGGTGAAGGCACGCATCCACTTAAGTTCATGTGCTTCTAGAGGTATTGAAAATGATCTCAATTACGGTACTATCTTTATTGCTGTTCACTGCTGCCTATCAGTCTTCATCCTTGATTTTAATGGAGAAAGATGCAATAGTCCATGGTAATGGGTAATAGGGTAGCTTAGCATCACCATTGCACTTTAATGGTTCCACGGTCAAGTGTTGTCACCTTAAGGGGGCTTATAAGTACAATGATAAAGCACAGGGTCAGAAACTCAAATCATGCATTCAATAAATCAATTTTTTGCACAAATAGCCTTACTCTGTAAGTTTATTTCAAAAAAAAAAAAACAAAAAAACAAAAAAAAAGCCTTACTCTGTAAATTGAGGGTCACACTCACTCTTAAATGTCCTTACTCTGTAATTGTGAGCAAGTTGATTTCTCTCCATCTTTAATTCTTTAGTGATGCAAACAAATTATTTAAAGATAGGAGATAATCTGATGAGAATTCATTCTGCATTGATTGCTTGAGCCTTGTAGTTAATGGTTGCACAAATCACACAGAAGGACTATAAACTTCATAATGTAAGAATTTGTGGAATTTTTTGAATAATAGTCCAAGGAATTTGAAATAAAATGTGTAAATCACCTTTCTTTTTTGATTTTTTTTTTTTGGGTTAACTTTTGCAATCCATTTGTATGGTTGACTATACTTGTTGGTGAAGGATATACTAGGCCGGTGACATTTAAAATTAGTATTTCCTGGCTGTCAATAGAATTATGATAGTATCTAGAAATTTCTTTAAAAAAAAGCATGGTAAAGACTTATATTTTCCCTCGAAATTACTGCAAACTAATTATAATTAAGATGCTGCCCTTTTCATGGGCAAGAAGGTAGTCACTATTGTAGAATATCCCCTTGGAGGAGATACAGTTTCTGTGACAAAGGGGGTGGTTTCAAGAATAGAGGTTTACATTAACTATGAAATACTGAGCAAAATGTTTTGCTGATGCCTATTGATTTGGTCTTTCATGTACATATGATGCCTGTTGATTTGGTTTCTAATATTTTGCTTGTTGATGATCAAAGCAATTCTGTAAAATCAAATATTAATATGCATCCGGAAGAAATTCTTTTTCGTAATGGTTCTAGACTTCTTACTTCTAGTATTACACTCCTATAGTCCACACTTTATAACAAATGCTAGTGAGTCACTTTTTTGGGTTGTAAGGGGGGGGGGGGTTGGATAGGAGAGATAATTGATTAGAGGCTCCATCCTGTACTAATTTTGACACTTATCATGTCACATAGTTTTAAGTGATAAGTTATTCTTTAGTTATCATTTGTTATTTTATTAAAAATATGGATCAGTAAAGAGAGTATGTGTACTCAGGCACATCATTTTGGATGCCGTAACCAAGTCAATAAAACCTTACACAGTTCTGGATACAAAATACGGTCTAAAATTCCGTATACGCCAGTTTGCTCTCAAGTATGTCTATAGTAGAAGAGATATAAATAAAATTAGATCTAAACTGGAAAATTAATCATAAAAGGATGTGAAATAATGGGGCTTAAACTCGTGGGGCTAAGGTGAGTTGAATGGCATGGCTGGCTGTTGCTTCAGCCGGTAACTGTAGTATGCAACCTTTCTTTTCTAGTGATGGCAAGTATGTGGCAAGCTGCTCTTTTTTTTTCTTTGTTCTTTTCTTTCTCCTCCTAATACCTTTCTTTGTTCCTTTTCCCCCTCCTCTCTTTCACTAGCAACCAGCAATCAGAGTTCCATTTTACTTTATTTTATTTTTTTCATCACATGCATCTCTGTCAATAACTAATTGGGCCTGGTATAGTGGTATCCTAAAACTCCTACGATTTATTCTTTTTTAAAAAAAAAAATTCTGTTAATATAACACAAAGACAAACATATGTATGTATGAATTACACAAAAAAATATATATATATATATACACACACACACATATTAAAAGTATAATAATGTCATATCTTCCTACCCGTGTCTAAATTTAGAATGTTGTCCCCGCACCCTAATATTTAAAAGCTGGTGTATTGAACACTTGGATCCATACACGAACCGATGCTCATATGAGTCTTGTACCCGTGTCCATGTAGATAGGCTAATTTTCAAATGACTCATTATCCAAAACTTTTTATATCATGAGAAACAAGATGATAAACCAATCTATGAAATAAAAATTCTAAAAAGACTTCAAGACCAACTAGGAATATTGTCAAGTTCACCTAACTCTAATTTGTCAGCAAACAATGGCACACATCCATTTGAATTTTGCTAGAAATTTAGTATAAACATAAACAGTGTGAATCTTCACATAAAATTATCATGCATGCATTGGGTGAGATTTTACTTCATACAATCTTAAAGAGGTGTCTATTGCTATTTTGAAAATTCTTAAAAAGCATAATAAACGTACCTTTAGCACAAATCTCTGCAGTGATGGAGATGCCTTCAATAGCTTTGTGCACTGGCTAAGGCAACCATCAACATTATCTAATGCTGTGCTAAATTTCAACCATCTAAGTTTATTAAACTTGGGAAGCTTGGGGAAATATTCATGCATCTGTAGAGTTTAGGACACCATGGACCAACCCCAAAATAAACAAGAATGAGAAAGGGAAAGGATAAACAAGATAATAGTTAGTGACAATTAATATTCTATTGTGAAAAGAAAAAATTAAAAAGGCACAAAGACAATGAATAATTTTATCCTACTAACCCATTTCAATCGTTGTGGAGGTAGGTGTAGAGATAGTGACTCTAACAGAGAAAAACAACTTGAAAATTGGCAAATATTCTTGACCAAGAAAACTTCATCAACATCTGCTTCGACTAGACAAGGAACTTCCTTAAAATATTTAAGTATATTAGGACCACAATAACCGAAGGACTTAAGATTGACAGCATGAACTTCAAGGTACCGCATAAACCAACAATCCTTTATCACCAGACACCTAAGACTAGGTGATGGGCCAGCAATTTTCAGCTCTACTAATGATAATAACCCATGGAGGTGCAAAACTTGAAGCAACGGGAAACAGGATAACATATACCCAAGAACTTCTCCAGTCACCACAATGCTTTTCAAATGAAGAGTAGTCAAGCAACTAAGATTACAATTGCTAAATAACTGTGCTCTTAAAGCATACTTCGGATGAGTGTTGAAACATCCATAGCCTAGATCCAATATAAGCCTTTTAGCATGCTTTTCTAATGCAAACTTGATCCAGCTATCTACAACATCTGAACTTCCAATTTCAAAATTTAAGCAAACTTTAAATTCATCTATTGTCGGAGCCTTATGTAGGCACAAGACCAAATTCACCCATTCTACAAACCTGCTCCTTGCAGTTTCAAGTAAGTTCTCCCATCCACGAGTACGCACTGCATCACATATTGGTACAAATTCAACAAAGTCCAATGCGCCGTTGGTGAGTGTCCACATAAATCTCCATCTGTGAGATAAGACACTTGTTCTTGCCGCTTCCCTCAGCTTTAGGTGAGATATAATTGATATTAGAATATCATCTGGCAAAGCACTAATTCGGTCCTCCAAAACACATTCCCTGTGGCAACACTAATTTTCACAAGAGCATACAAAGTTAGACCATAACAAACTTCTGAATTTCCTGTTCCGTTTGTTTAAGCAAGAAACATTTTCAGCAAGTCATATTCCATGATTAGATCAAGCATAAATTTCAACATACTCCAAATTGCTAAAAGGCATGCACATGTTGATAAACACATGTACGAGACAGTCTGGATATCAGAAGCTGGATCTATATTGGATTACATCTATATTCTCCAACCCCCATCTATCATCTGTAATGAGCCAACCCACGCCACCACTACTCCATACTTACAGCAGGGGATAGAAACAAAGGCAGCAGCAGCAACAGGGGCAGGGGAACACTCTCCACCCACAACAGCAGCCTGCAACACCAACCCCTTAGAGCTGTAGTCGTTGGTGTCTGATTAGTTTACTTTTTGTTGCTTTGTAAATGACAAAATGTAGTAAAGGTAGTAATTAAAGCTTGATGCCACATCACTAGTTAGTTATAAAATAGTCAAAGAAAATGCACAAAGTATTTAATGGGAAAATGGAAGTAACCTTCAAAGGTTCATAGACAGTATCAAACCAAGGAACATAACATCCTCATAAACAGAACCTCCATCTGGTTGTACCAAATATCCTAAGAAAGATCAATATCCGAGATTGACCACAACTCACACATTCATTGTAGGGGTTGTGTTTTCAATATAAGAATTATCTAACAGCAAGTTCACCGATTTTTGGGAAGGGGAGAGTACTAGATTACTATAACTCTAAAGCTATTATGATATTTCCTAAAAAGTGTATCTGTATGGATGTATGCCAAACATTCTATATTCAAGCCTCAAAGGTTCGATCTTTGTTGGCCAAGTTCATTCCCAATTATCACCCTTCCTCACTTCCAAGTCGATCTATCTCGCAAATCGCAAGTAGGACATTCATGATCATTATGCCTATACCTTCTCTTACCACCCTCCTACCCAGCCACCTACCACCACCCTGTGACAAACATCACGATATCATATGGATTCTAAATGCTTAAGGAGCTCTGTTCATAATCCTCATGCAGGCCCGTCCCTGAGGAAGGGCAGGAGGGGCGGCAGCCCTGGGCCCAGGGAAAAGAGCTCTGATTTCATAGTTGAATCCTAACATTAAAGTGTTGTGCAATACATTAGCAGCCAAATTTGATTCAATTATCTCATAATTTTAGGGATATTTGATGTGATGACAACAAATACAAACAACTTACCTCAACATTAAAGTGTTGTGCAATACATTAGCAGCCAAATTTGATTCAATTATCTCATAATTTTAGGGATATTTGATTCATAATTTTAGGGATAGTTGATGTGATGACAACAAATACAAACAACTTACCTCAACATTAAAGTGTTGTGCAATACATTAGCAGCCAAATTTGATTCAATTATCTCATAATTTTAGGGATATTTGATTCATAATTTTAGGGATATTTGATGTGATGATAACAAATACAAACAACTTGCCTCAGAAGCTGCTTCAATGGAGGATACAAGAACTAGATTCAACGGAGAACGGCAACTGCGCTTCAATGGAGAACGTTGAATGCGCTTCAATAGAGCAATTCAATGGGTTGGACGCCTTGGATCCCTATTAAAAGCCATGACCCATGACCCGCCACAGTTATTAATGGGTTATATCCGTCTAATAAATAAATGGGTAGAGTCGTTATACGATCGTCCAATTAAGGGGCAGGGCAAACCTTTTATGGGTTCATAGTAAACTGTTTTAAAAAGTACGGAGTATTAGCTTATCTTTACACTTTCATTTCTCAAATACTATCTTTACACACCAAAGCTTGTATAATTTATTTATTTTTTTGAGGAAAAATAGATCCAATATATTAAACGAGATCCAAATTTGCCAACGCTACAACACTTTGTGGGAAAGAGTCTTCGGATCAATTCCGAAGCACTACCCGTATCCCCTCTAGCAACTAAGTGGGCAACCGTGTTCCCGTTCTTTTAATATGAGAGAAAACACAAACATCAAATAAGGCTCTAAGCTTTACAATGTCAGCAATGACCAAGCAGAAAGGAGTAATACCAACATTATTTGCCTCCACTGAATTAACAACCGACAGGGAATCTGATTCAACCCATAAGCACTTGTAGTAAATCTCAGCGCCACGTTCATACCAAACCTGATCGCCTGTGCCTCCAAGTTCACAACTTCAGATGCCATTGTTTTTTTTTTTTTTTTTTGTGGCTGTTAGTATAACAGATCCACTCACATCCCTAATAACCGCCCCTAACCCAGCACTACCCCCGCCAGCATTGTGAGCATCCACATTAATTTTGAGCATTCTAGGGGGAGGGCAGACCCACTTCGCCACTGATGGAGGGGGCTTCGCCGCATTTGTAATCTGCAATTTTTTGCCTGTACTCGTGGTGATCTTCAGCCCATTTGCTAAAGTTTGCTGCTAGCATCACGACATTTGGGCAAGAGTCTTCAAACATTGCCATGTTTCTACATCTCCACGCAGCCCAACACAGGAGGCAACCTTTGCTAGCTCCTCTTTGCTTACACGTTCCCCAATCCAGTTCCACCTAGAAGCGAAATAATCCACAGGGGCGTCTTGCAAGAGCAATCTAAAATTGCTGCATTCCCATATTTCTTTCACCTTTGTGCATTGAAACAGCGCATGAATAGAAGATTCCTCCGCATTATTACACAACCTGCACTTAGCCACCTGAAAGATATGCTTCTGTTGAAGCCTTGCACCTACAGCTAGATTTTCCTTGCAAGCACCCCACAGAAAGTGCTGGACTTTGGGAGGAATACTCATTCGCCATATTACTTTCCAGCAGTTGTTAAGTATATGGTGTCCTATAGTTGAGCAGTCTAAAGAACGCGCTAGCCAATAACCTGATTTTACCGTGTAGAACCCAGATTTTGTATAGTACCAATACCTCGTATCAGGGCCCCTATACTGAGCTATCGGAATTGACCTGTCCTGTTGCGCCTCTAATCCCAGAGACCCCTCAAGCTTGTATAATTTATTTGCAAGTTTTTTTTATTTTTTTTTTTATTTTAAAAATGGCTGAAATTACATTAATTAAACTGAGTTTACAACAAACGAAAAGAAAGTATGATAACATAAGTCAATTACAAGTTATCATGTCTTAAATGTGGTTAGAATGAGTTTTCCTCAAAAAAAAAATGTGGTTAGAATGAGTTTTCCTCAAAAAAAAATATGGTTAGTATGACTCTTTTGTCGTGGCCATTATGGCAAATTAATTGTTTCATATGAAGTGTGAACTATGCAATTGTATAGATGGTCACCTACATTTTATTATAAATACAGTTGCAAACTAGCAAGTGTAAAATTGTATGAGTAAGTTAATTGTATGAATTGGTTAGTGATCTGTGTAAAACAGAAAATTATTAGTGAATAACTTTGGAAGTGACAACGTTAATACTTTTTTTTTTTTTTTTTTTTTTGAAAAAAAACCCATCTAGATCAACCGAAGAAATTTCCAAAATGCGAGAAGGGATTACATCACTCCACACCCATTGAGCAAACTCCCATGGTTGAAAGTAAGTCAATTTGTGTGTTATATTATTACCCCCTCGCTTTACAAAAAACCATGAATCAGTAGTAAAATTAGAAGAAAAAAAAATCTAGAATATCCTTTATAATCAGATGAAAGGAACTGGAGTCATACAAACAATGTTATTCAACTTTCCACCACTCCATTCCCCATGTTATTCAACTTTCCCACCTTTAATCTTCAAAGCATAAACAACAATTTGCTCAACATTCGGCTTTTTCACCCTCAATCATCCATTTGTTCCTTGCGCCCCACATAGCCCAACACATGGTAATTAAACTCATAATATCCTCTCCAAAATTACCAAAACAATGCTCCCACGAGTCACCCATACTACAAAGAGAGTGAGACAAAATCATAGAATATTTGCACTTACTCCAAATTGCTCAGGCTAAACTGCAATCTTTTAACGCATGCATGACAGATTTCTTCTTCTCTCTGGCAAACACCACAAGCTAGTAGCCAGGGCACAAACTAGCTACAAAAAAATTAGCTTTAAAATCTTATGTGGCCAAAAAAGCTAATTTGCTAATTAACTTACCATTGGAGTTGCTCTAATACTCCATCTGTTCCTTTTATTAGATACATTTTGACTTTACACCCTAGTGTCCCAACCAATCCAATGAACACCCACCCAAACCTTAATTCTAACTCTCGAACCCCACTTATTTGGTGAACTCCCACCCAAACACCAACCCTTACTCTCAAACCACAATTATGTGGCGAACTCCCACCTAGCCGATCGATCGAACCCACAAAACTCCCACCCACCCTAATCGGCACGAACCTATGACCACCCAGCCCTCCACACCAAACCCGACACCCCAATCTTTTTCAAAAATTATTTATTAGAGTTAAAATTAAAAATATTTTTTTGTATTTAAAATTAATATTAAGCTATATTTTGTTATAATTAAGTCAATTCTTATTTAATTGAGAGTTAATTATGATGACTTGTTTGACCGGTCACAAGTCAAATCGAGTACTTAAATTATTTATGGAATATGGACATCAATGTTAGACTTATTTTTTAATTCACTAAAGTTGACTTAATATTGGAAGATCACCTAAAGTTCGACTTATTGTGGTTATTTTTTTCATTATTTTATTATATTAGACTTTCCTTTTACTAATTATCTGTATATGCATTTCTATTTTACACAAATATTTTCCATACGACAATGACAAAAAAAAAAGGTGCATTATCTCACCAAGAATCAACACGAATTTTTTTAGTGTGTCATTTATACTTATGGATTATTGATTGGTTATTATTTATTGATGATTACTAGTTATTTATTTAAGTAAATATAAAAATATGATATTTAATTATATTTTTTTCTAACTGATAAATAAAAAAAGAAGATCACAGAAAAGTGTGAATGAAAATGTCCAAATGGTGCAATTAATGAAAGGAAGAAAGTATTTAACAAATTATATAAAATTATTTACGAATTAAAATATTACATAACTATTTAACAATTATATAAATAAATGATTTTTTTAATTATCATTTTGCCCTAGACCTACAAAATATCAAAAACGGCTCTGTCCTGGACCGTACTAAACTATTGTAATGACAATAAAATCATATGTAATATATGTGAAAAATCCCCAGCTCATTACCATGGTCCATGATAATAGAATAAATCTATAATCATGTGAATTTCTTTATATATTTTCAATCTTGCTTAATACCACATCTACGATTTTCGTAATCAATACTAAACGGCGATAAACTGGTAATTGGAATGATAATGTATCAACAAGCCCGTCCCTAAGGCCTAAGCCAGAGCAGAAGGAAGAAGAGGTCTAATACTACTTACCAAAAAAAAAAATTAAAAAAAAGGTCTAACATTAAAGGTTGTGCAATTTTTATCCCACTTTACTTTCCGCACTTTTTTACATTCTCCGTACACGTTCTAACTAGATCGTCGGAGGCGGAACTCCACCCAACCGGAGTCAATTTGATTTAACTATCAAACAAGGCATATAATTTTAGGGATATGTGATTCAATTATGAAATCGTTGGTTATGATTTTTCATAATTTTAGTATTTAGAACCAAGAATTGAGATTTTCGAACCCTGCACTTATAACAAATATTAAATTCGATCAAAGATGAACCCTAGATTGTGAAATTGATATGATGTACTAAATGAAACAACAATGAACTTACCCGGAATAAATAGTTTGTAATAAAGAACGTCAAGTGCGCTTCAATATTTCAATGGAGAACTCAGAGAGAGAGGAGGAGGAGGAGGCACTTAATGACAGAGCAATTTAAAAGGATGCCTTTCCTAATACTGTAAGGGGGTGTTTGGTATGTGGAATTAAGGGCGGGATTGGGAGTTTTAATCCCAATTGAAGAAATAAGCCTTGTTTGTTTGATGGGAATGGGAATAAATAGGGGTTTGGGAATAGGATTATTTAGGGGTGAATTCCCACCATTTTATTACCTAGGGAGGGTTGGTAATAAATGAATGGGAATGGGAATAGATACAAAATGACATTTTTTCCATTAATGAAATGAAGAAAAAAGAAATGTTAGTAAGGGTATTTTTGTAAAATTGTTACTTATTCCCTATATATTCCCACCCACTATCCAAACAAGGTATTGGCATATTTTCATGTATTCCCATCCATTAATTCCGAATCCCATTCTCACTTTTTAATCCCCAAACTCTCATTCCCACATTCCAAACGCCTCGTAAAAGTCTTATCGGTAGCAAGTAGGGGGTAAAAATGTACTTTCACCGATTATTACAGCTTTGTTAGTCAAGTTTTGCTAACTACATTAATTTTAAGGAAATTTTTTAAAATACCACCCAAAAATGTCTCCATTTTCAAAATAACCACCCATTTAATTTTCATTTTTATTTTACCACTTCTTAAATTAAATAACTACTCAGATTACCACCGATTTCAAATTTCTGATGGAATTCTCTTGTGTGGGCCCCACCCAACGGCTAGTAACGACTATATTTAACTTTTTAATTGATCCCCCCCTGA